GGGTATTAAATTACAAAATTGACATTATAAACATGACAAAGTAAGGTTAATTTAGGGATATCATATTTTTACAGATTCATTGGCTCTTTTATAATAGTATAGATAAATAAAAATTATATTAGATAATAGTAAAAAATAAAATTAACTTACGGGAAGACAAGATAGGAAGATCTTACCTTTTATGTCAAGCAATAATTTCGAGATATCTATTTCAAAAAACACAAATAAGTGATGGGTTCGGGGAAGAACGTCGGTTAATTATTCATGTATCGAAATATAAAAGTTTAATCCTAAACTCAATATGTATTCAAAAGGTTAGGAAGTTTAAGATTATGATCTTATGGTTTGTTAATAGCTAATTCTGAAATGACTTAAATGGCTACGGTATCGTGCGAACGTGCATCCTTGATTACCTTTGGATCTTCTACTGTATATTTGCACCTCGGTTTGGGTGACTTGTGATGATGATCTCCTGAACTCGTGTGGCCGGAAATTCATTTTTCTACTTGCTCACTTGAACTCAAGCCTTATCTCTCTGAGGGTCACACGTCTTTTTTGTGTGTCTTGCGAGAGAATGAGATCCATGTACTATATTTATAGACTACAACAGACACGTTTTCACCTTAAAGATGTTAGAACTAAGTTGGAAAAAGAATACTTGTGTTATGATCCACCATACTCCTTGGCCCATCAATAATAATTTAGTTTGCTACATATGGATTATTAAATTACCATTCCGAAAACCCAAATTAATTGGGCTCGGCTATACTTGAATTATCTCCTCATATTTAAAATATCGATCGCCCATTAATAATTTAGTTACTGATAATTTAGTTAATTAATATCTTTGTTTCCTAAAATTAAAACAATACAATCTTATTATTATGCCGGATAATATTCGTTTGAAGTCATCTCAGCGACGTCAGTCATATTGGTGCAATATAGTAGCTTGATATAATTAACACCATACCATGTGATCAATAATATCCCAGAGAGTATATTGACTTAAAGAATAAGTATCACCCTTTAATGAATTCAAAAATTAATTATTAAGTATATGTGTCCAATTATAATCATCTGGGTTCAGAGTAAAAGTGATATCATGAGGTTTCATTTATTTAATAGATCAGCATAAATAAACTTTTCGATCCAATTCAATACAAAGTGTACTTGTATAATTTATGAGTTAGTAAGCTATTGTACTACAACAATACCAATAGATTTGTCCATTGTTATCTAGATTGTGAACCTTATTTATATTGTATACGGAACTAGTAATGATAAAGCTCAAACGAACCTATCTCAGTTAGCTCGGGTGAATGGACTTTTCATATAGCTCGATGATATAACAACTCAGGTTGACCTGTCTTTTATAGGCCAATTATATGGTCGTAAAAACCTACTAGCTCAGATATGGGAGGGACCTCTCAACAATTAGTAATATTACCGACCTGTGGACAATTTATACATGTAGACCTACTCACATTATATCTGGCCGACCTATACGTCCAGTTATTCATGTAGACCTACGCTCCCCTTCATTTAATGCTTCAGATGAAAAGTCACCTTGTCCATCTCATCCTCTGCCGTGACATCTTGATTGGCAAAGACCAAAAGCTTCCCAAACGTATCGATTATCTCCTCCACGCATGTGAACCTGGGGGCCTCCATGTTGTACTTCAATTTTCATGGACCCGGACCGTCACATCAAGACCAGACCGAATGAGCATTGGTCATACAAGTTTGAGCACAAGTGGCCAAGGAAGAAACATCGACAAGATCTGTCGAACTCCCTGATCGGCTAAAACCCCTTATGCCGATCTCATCCCGAATCTTCCCCAAGAAGATTGACGATCTCTCTCGCATGTAGAAGCAAAACCATTAAAGCTAATAAAGCCAGTGCCCGAGCCGTCCCATCCTCAAAAGTCGAGTTTTGCATGAATACACGCGACAGGAACCTACGCCCTTAGCTGACACAATACCATTATTGTACTGACAAACCCTTGCCTCTCAAAAAGAGAGATATACAACCTTGTACAAAAACCACTAAACGCAACAGACACCCTCAATAAAAATTCCCGGAGAAACTTTTTTCTTTGTCCATCTCCCCACAGATCGAAAAATTGGTGTCTTATTATTTCTTCACTTTCATTTTCTCTCTTACTTTCGAGAAAAACTCTAATCTCATTAATTATTCAATAATTCCTGATTTAACCGCCTATTAAATCTAATTCGTAACGTTGGTGGTTGGCATTCACCATGATATTATAACGAAAGATGAATAAGTCATACAAGTGATGTGTGTCATATTAAATATAAATAATAATATAATTATTTTAAAAGTATTTATAATTCAAAATAAACCTTTTCACATTTTTTTAATTTTAAGTATAAATATTTTAACAAGCACCCGTAAAGTATACATGTATTTTACTAGATAAATATATTTCGGGAAATCTTTAGGGCATTCTTGGATATAAATATATCCGCTAAAAAATTAGTATTATTATTATTTTTTACCAGTGTTAATCATGAAAAATATGGTATGGTTAATTGTTAGTGTAGTTTTGATTTACATTAAAATAATATTTAAAATAAAATAATTAAAATTGAATTCGAGATAAAAGTAGAAAGGTAAATAAAGTTAATTCGATGTAAAAGTATGAGAGAGATATGTGAAGTGATTGTTAGTTAAAATTAGTGGATGAATAATCAATTAAAGTGGATATGTGAAAACGATTGATTGATATTATTTAAATATATTGATAATATTGCGATGAATATGATTAAATTAAAATTATATTTTAAAATAGATTGAGAAATCTATACTTATATAATAAGGTATTCTATTTACCAAATTTAGTAAGTTGAAAAGTAAACGTAATTAATGCATTGCTATTTCTATCCAAAATTTTATTTAATTATTTTATTTATTTGTCTTATATCCCACAAAATCAGTTTAAGAAAAAAAATCACAAAAAGGCATTTTGGAAGTGAGGTACAGTAAATCTCAGAAAACCATCTCCTCCCCAGTTTTCCCCAAATTTCGTTGTCCTTGTCCTGTTAACAAGCTTTCCGTCGTCTTCCCCGGTGGGGAGCGGCGAGTACGCGGTGGTGGTTCGCCTGTGCCTCGCAGCCCGTTTCCGAGAGTAGTGCCGCGCAGGGGAGGGGGGGCTTTTCCGCCGGGGAGTCCGTCGTGCCTGCTTTCCGGCTGCCGTCTCTGGTGCTGGAAGTGAGTGGCGGGTGGATG